TTATTTAGGTACAGGTAAACATAAGTATAATTATCATACGTAGTAACATACGTGTAAATTAACTAGGATAACCCCCTCCCCCAAGAAAAGTCAGTGACTTATTTCCGATGGGGTCCACTCAATGGACGGGAATCGGAAATGAAACTTTCCTACAGAAAGAGGAAGGGAAACAAAATTTCCAGATCAGGTGGACCCCAGGTCTAAACATCGGCCGAGCAAGCCTCTTACATTACAAAGCCCCCACCTTGTTTTTTTCGAGGCGGAATCCATACATAGCTTTAACAATAGGTATGATATGGCTCATGTAGCTAGGAGTGAAACCAGTAGCAGCCAGCAGAAAGGGCCCAGGAGCTGAGACTCGATCCTTGTAAGCACAATTTGGTGAATTAGGCGACTATAGAGATTTTCACTTGTTGGTCTAATTTACCTAAGGCTTAAAAATTGTCATTTTGGAGAAATGGGAAAGTCATCCTTTACGTATGTCAATTATATTTGACCAGGAAGCAAAATCTGTTTTAATAATTCAGTATCAAAGTATACTATAAAAAATGTCCATGACTGAGCCAGTGTATTACCCACAGCACTACCGTAGTTCTGTCTGTAAACACCGTAATTAACAGAAAATACATTGACCATTACACAGTTAGAAAAATTTAATGGTTTTGCTTATACTGGCTGATCTAGATTCAGGTTAAGCAAGACTACTCTGAGAAAGTTTAGTTTCTCTGACCTTAACTCTGGTCAAGAATTAACGTCACAACTGACAAATTCCCTCATGTCAAGTTTAAGCTATTGAACTGTTGAGGTACCAGTTGGAGGTACCGATTGTTGCATCTAGGTTCAGGAGGGAGGAGGGGGGATAGGGAAGAAAGAAGGGGATTAGGAGGGAGAGGGAAGAAAGGAGGGAGGAAGGGAAGGGAGATGGTCAGCTGCACCTGGCTTGTTACGTAGACGTGACGTCACCACCTTGGGTCAGCCAGGTTGGTAATGATGAAATTATAAGGTTGAGTGATTACCTCTGTGTGTGTGTGTGTGTGTGTGTGTGTGTGTGTGTGTGTGTGTGTGTGTGTGTGTGTGTGTGTGTGTGTGTGTGTGTGTGTGTGTGTGTGTGTGTGTTGTGTGTGTGTGTGTGTACGTACTCACTATTTGTACTCGCCTATTTGTGGTTGCAGGGGTCGAGTCTTAGCTCCTGGCCCCGCCTCTTCACCGGTTGCTACTGGGCCCTCTCTCTCCCCGCTCCATGAGCTTTATCAAACCTCGTCTTAAAACTGTGTATGGTTCCTGCCTCCACTACGTCATTTTCTAGGCTATTCCACTGCCTTACAACTCTATGACTGAAGAAATACTTCCTAATATCTCTCTGACTCATTTGTGTCTTCAATTCCAATTGTGGCCTCTTGTTTCTGTGTCCCCTCCCTGGAACATCCTGTCTTTGTCCACCTTGTCTATTCCACGCAGTATTTTATATGTCGTTATCATGTCTCCCCTGACCTCCTGTCCTCCAGTGTCGTCAGGCCGATTTCCCTTAATCTTTCTTCATAGGACATTCCCTTAGCTCTGGAACTAACCTTGTGGCAAACCTTTGTACTTTCTCTAGTTTCTTGACGTGCTTTATCAAGTGCGGGTTCCAAACAGGTGCTGCATTACTCCAGTATGGGCCTGACATACACGGTGTACATTGTCTTGAACGATTCCTTACTAAGGTATCGGAATGCTGTTCTCAGGTTTGCCAGGCGCCCATATGCTGCAGCAGTTATCTGATTGATGTGTGCTTCCGGAGACATGCTCGGTGTTATACTCACCCCAAGATCTTTCTCCTTGATTGAGGTTTGCAATCTTTCGCCACCTAGCCTATACTCTGTGGTCTTCTGTGCCCTTCCCCTATCTTCATGACTTTGCATTTGGCAGGATTAAATTCGAGAAGCCATTTGCTGGACCAGGTGTCCAGGTCTCTTTGAAGTCCTGCCTGGTCCTCATCAGATTTAATTCTCATTAACTTCACATCATCTGCAAACAGGGACACTTCTGAGTCTAACCCTTCCATCATGTCGTTCACATATACCAAAAATAGCACTGGTCCTAGGACCGACCCCTGTGGGACCCCGCTCGTCACAGGTGCCCACTGTGATACATCATTACGTACCATGACTCGTTGTTGCCTCCCTGTCAGGTATTCTCTGATCCATTGCAGTGCCCTTCCTGTTATATGCGCCTGATGCTCTAGCTTCTGCACTAATCTCTTGTGAGGAACTGTGTCAAAGGCCTTCTTGCAGTCCACAAGATGCAATCAACCCACCCCTCTCTCTCGTGTCTTACTTCTGTTATTTTATCATAAAACTCCAGAAGGTTTGTGACACAGGATTTGCCTTCCGTGAATCCGTGCTGGTTGGCATTTATACTCTTGTTCCGTTCCAGGTGCTCCACCACTCTCCTCCTGATAATCTTCTCCATAATTTTGCATACTCTGTGTGTGTGTGTGGTGTGTGTGTGTGTGTGGGTGTGTTGTTTTGTGTGGTGTGTGTGTGTGTGTTTTGTGTGTGTGTGTGTGGGGTGTGTGTGTGTGTGTGTGTGTGTGTGTGTGTGTGTGTGCGCGCGCGCGCGCGCGCACACACTTATGTACGGAAATGCCTCTCCTGGCTATTCCACTGCTTGATCACCCTCAACTGAAGAAATACTTACTGGGATCCCTGTATACCTCTCTTTCACTTCCAGCTATACCCTCCTTTAAACCAAATTTCTTACCTCTCGATCTGTCTATCCCTGTCTACCCCATTAGTTCTAGTATTTTTATATATTGTCATCATCTGTTCCTGGATCTTCTGTCCTCTAATGTCGTCAGGTTTAGTTAGTTTTTGTTTCTCCCCAAACCCTTAAAAACTGGAACTTCCCCCGTTCCATATATCTGCACTTTTGCCAATTTCTTAACATTCTTTACCTGGTGAGAAAGGATGGCAAACAACAAGACAAAGCCAGGACTAAGACCCGTAAGTTATATATAAGGGATGCTTATACACCCAAATTTCCTAATAAATTCTTGGTCCTGCTTTTTTTCTCTGTATAGACTTCTTTTCTCATGACACTGCAAATGCTCCAAATTTTTATCTGGAGACTTTTCCATGCTGGACTGCGTAGTCCAAGTAGGGCCTGATGGTATTGCATAATGTTTTTCAGGAAACCCGGACAGTTTTCCTGACGCTGGTCCTAGTCTGTGTAACTTCCCTTGTCCTTGTCATGGTTAATTCTCCCCGCAAGTAGCGTTACATATATCCATCCCCTACTGATAAGTCATTCAATATTCCAGGAAGACTACTGGTATCAGCGCTTCTCGTAGACTCCCACTTGCTGCACTCCTAGACGTACTCTATGTAGCAGCACATTAATAGTTTTTTCTTAATATGTAACTATCACACAGAAAAGTGTAGCAGCACACTGGGTGTTAGTAAGTTTTATTCAGGGATACACCAAATACAGTTACAAAAGAATTATCATACATAGCAGCATGTGTGTAGAGAACCTAGGATAACCCAAAAAAGTCAGACAGTGACTTATTTCCTTGGGGTCCTTTTATCTTATTATTATAATATAAAGGTTTTAATATTTTCTTATTATTCTATAATGAAAATAACATCTTATTATTATAAAAAAAGACATTACTACCCAAAG